CTAATAAATCATATGATTTAATTTTTTTTCTTATTGCAAATTTTCAAAAAAAATTTGAAAAGAGATTTAAATGATATTTATATATAAGAAATTACAAACACAAGAATTAATAAGTCATATTAGAAAATAAACTAATTTAAAAAATACATAAATATCACAAACAAGTAATGATAAATACTTATTAAAGATAATGATAAAATAACTAGTATATTTTTTTTAGAGATGCCATTAAGCCATATACTCAGAATACAAGCTATATTTAAAACAAAACAGAAAATAACCTTATTAAAGGGCAAAAACTAATAATAAAATCCCTGGTTATTATAATTAATTCATTAATAAATATTTTCTTAATTATTGCAAATATTCATTCTTATATTTATATGTGTATGCTATGTTCTTCACAAATAAATAATAAAAACTGTATTTTATAAACTATTCTAATTTAATCGGTATTGATATTTTAAAAGTATCTTGTATTTAAGATACTCTAATTTAGTAAAAGATACAAGTATCTTTTATCTTGTATCTTTTTGATATTTTGAAAAAGATACTAGTATCTGTATCTAAGATTCATTTTTTTATAAAGAATCTGTATCTAGATTCTTTTTTTGGAGGACCTGCCCAACTCTGTATGAGAGCTTCTAGATTTTCAGGCAATAAGCTTTATGGACTATGTCCTATGCTGTACTTAGACCTGTGCGCCGCCGGCTCAAGCCGGCAATTTTATTCACACCGGAACAGCCGCCGATTGAGATCAGCGGCGTGAGCCGGCTAGCCGCCGATTTTTCTTATGGCGGTGGCGCGGCGTGTATAATATTTAGAATGTTGTTTTATTATATTTATATATTAAATTATTATTATTTAAATTTGAATATTAACATTAATATAATAAAACATGAATTGTATTCTATTGCTTTATATAATAGAATAGTGTATATCATTTACATTCATTCATACACCATATTCATTTCGGCTATATTAATTATTTTTATGGATTTGCGCGTTTTAAACCACCCTATATACAATTATGAAATAACAACTCTCTCTACTAATCAAAAATCAAGTTATGTGTGGAAGTACTTTGGAAATCTTATTTTGAAGAATGAGAATAAGAAAAGCATGATAATGACTGATTATATTTATTGTGAACCTTGTTTAAAATTGGGGAAAAAAGATGAGGAAGATTCGGATAAAAATAATCCATTTTCACAGTAATTTATTTTAATTTTAGACTTATATTTATATATAATTTATATTTTAGTTATGATATCAAATGTTATAGCAAAAATATAAGTATACGAGTAACCTTTCTCGTCACTTAATTAATGTGCATAAAATATCAGAAAAAACTAATAATAATAAATCCATTACTCTAAAAATGTTTCTAAAGCCAACGCCAACATGTAGCAAGAATATAAAAGATAAAAAATGGCTCTTAGGTTAGTATTAATGTTTATTAATATTCATTTTAAATTTTTAACTGGTTGGTTAAATTAATTTTATTAAGCTCTATTTGTTCAAAACAACTAAATGTCAGCTCTTATTTTGAGAACTTTTTAATGTACAAACTTAATATATAATTTATTAAAATAATTATGTAAAACTTTAAAACAACTAAATTTTTAGTTTGTTTATTGTCAGCTCTATTTCGAGATCCAATGCATAAACTTATGTATAATTTAAATTAATAAAATAATTATGTAAAACTTTAAAACAAATAAATTTTTAGTTTGTTTATTGTCAGCTCTATTTTGAGATCTTGTTAATGTATAAACTTAATATATAATTTATTAAAATAATTATGTAAAACTTTAAAACTAAATCAAATTTTTTATTTGTTTCTCTTTTTTAAATATCTTTTTTCTAATAGGGCGAAATTATGTTTTGATGTGCTGCTTAGATTTATTGCCATTTGATTCTATAAGCAATAATGGGATGACAGATTTTCTAAAGGTTTAAAATTTAAATAAAATGATTATTAAATAAATTGCCTAAAAAAATAGAAATATAAGATAATTGATTCTTCATCAGAACTAATAGGACAACTATTAGTCGGGGAGCACTTGATGATGTTTATTGTTCTATAAAGGCACATGTTTTAAACCTTATTGATGCTGGTCCAAAATTCTGTTCCATTACTTTTGATTTATGGACCAATCAGTTCAAGCGGCGAAATTATATTACATTTAGTCTTCATCATTTAGATGAAAATTTTAATTTAAAATATTTTACCCTGGCAACCCGAAATGTGACTCAAAAGCATACTGGGGAAACCATATTATCGGAGATTGATGGTATCGAAGAGGAGTTTCATTTAAAAGCCAAAATAATACAAATGGTAACTGGTGCAGGGGCAAATGTCAAAAGAAGCGTCAGATTGGGGGATTATGAGCATCATTTATGCTTAGGTTATGGACTACATAATTTGGTTACAGTTGATGGCATAAAAAAAGTTGCCAGAATTGATAATCTCCTTAAAAAAATTAGAGAAATTATTACAGCCCTCAGATATAGAGTAGCTGATTTGGAATGTGAAATTGAAGATGAGCATCGTAAATGTCTCCAGTCAATTTATGAGACAGGTCATATCTTGGATATTGATGATTCTGATCCATACCTTGATGACCATTTTGATAACAAAGCGGATAATAGAAATGTCATTACACCAGCCAATTTATATAATACAAAAACGTTAAAATTAAATTGCCCTACCCACTGGCACAGCATATTAATTATGCTAGAAAGTGTTCGTAGCGTGAACAAAAATCCTATTAATAATGTTTTGAATAAAATAGGAAAACAATGTTTAAAACTATTTAATAGTGAATGGGATATGATTGACGAGTTTTATGTCGCATTAATTCCATTCCGAGAGTCGGTGGAATTTCTTTCCTCTCAAAAGGGATCGACTATAAATCTAGGGTTATTATTTCCCAGTGAAATAGAAACTCACATACAGATCAATATATCTGATTCCTCAGATATTATTTGTTTAAAAGAAAATATGCAAAAAAAGCTTGACCATAGGTTTCCCATTACTGAACTTCAAGTTATTTTATATTTTTATTAATAAAATTATATTTTGAACATTAGATATTAACGACTCTCCTTGATCCCAGATTTAAATGAAAATTGTGTCAGAATATTTAAATTCAATTCTACTACATCATTGCAATTTTTAACAAGACATTTAAAACTTTTAGAAAATGATAAAAATGCACAAAGTGAAATCCAAGTTGAAGATAATGGGGAGACTTCCAGTTCTTATATCGCCAAAATAGCTCGTAAACATTCCATTCCAGGCAGTGATTATAACAATATAAGTAATTTAGAACAAGAATGCCATATTTTGCTAAGCCAAAATAATATCCCAGAAGAGGATGCATTAACCTTTTGGAAGAAAAAGCAACTGGAACTTCCTAGGCTTGCTAATTTAGCTAGGAAGGTTCTTTGTATACCTGCAACCAGTACACCCAGCGAAAGAATTTTTTCCATTTCTGGATTAATACTCAATGAAAAAAGGACTTCTTTATGTCTCACCAATCTTGATAAAATTTTATTTATTCATGATAATTATAATTTAGCTAAATCTGAATTCTGATTTATTATATTTCTTACTTAATATTTTGTTTGCATTCCAAATATATATTTGTTATAATAAAAATCTATAGAATATTACTAATATGTGTTGTTTATGTGACTCTGATCTGAGTGAAAATGCAATTCCTTAGTCTATTTCTGAGAATGAGAAAATACATGAATTTAAATTGAAGTGAGACAGGAAATAATTTAAGAAATAAACTATGTTAACAATGTGTTAGAAAAGAGCGCCAAATTATAAAAAAATGTAATACATTGATTTATAAATTAAATTTATTTAAAAAATTTTTTTTAATAAATATCGCGCCACCGCCACCATTTTAAAAAACCGCCGCCGTCAATTGAGACATCGGCGCACAGGTCTAGCCGTACTGAAGGAAGACTCAGATTCTGCAGATAATACATTTTGCAAAATTATCTTTGTTTTTTGTAAAATATTTTCATAATTCAGAAACCAAAAATTTCTTTTATTTAAAGTATAAATAATAAAATTGGCGTTATTATTTAAAAAGATTTAAAATAAATAAAACTTTGGGTGTTCCTTTCTATTTTTATAAAAAAAACTTTTAAAATACTATAAATTTAATTAAAAATGAAATAAAATTTAGAGGGTGTTGTGTATTTGCATAGCATTGTTTAAAAAAAATTTATTTAGAAAATAGTATAATATAAAATAAATAGACATAACATAAAATAACAAAAAAAAGATAAGTAAAAAGATTGGATCAGTTTTTTGCAGGTATCGGCCCAATCCAATATTTTTGGAAAATGATAAATATCTGTAATCCGATATTTAATATCGGCACTGCCCTAGAAATATTGCAATTATTAATATATTGTAAAAAAAATAAATGATATAAAAATTATTAAGCATTTTACAAAAATTTATTAAATAAGAAAAGAAATTATAAATGTAATTATTATTTATAACTGCTGATTCCTAATTACATATTTGAAAATGTAATTAATTATAATTACTATTAGAAAAAATGAAGTGTAATTGTGAAATTAATTAAATGTATAATTAATTTTGTCAGATTTAAATTTAATATTAATTGTTTTTTATTATTGAGGCAAATCACTTTGTTGATTTACAATTGAAATCCCTTTGGTTCCTTAATTATTGATATTTTATCAACCTTTGGTCACTTGACTCCATTTACCTTTAATGCAAATATTTTCTTATAGGAATTATATTACTATAATATGTTCTTTGTATCCTTATTTTATTGAAAAAGTTCAATAGTATTCCACTCATTTCAATATATTTTTTTAAAAGAATGTTTAACTAAATATTATAAGAAAAATTTATAACTAGGGAAATATTATTTGCTTAATTTATTAAATATTTGAAGAAAATAATACTTAAAAATAATAAGAAAAATTTTAATTTATACCTGAACATCTTGTAAAATTTCATGTGCATCTTTTAAATTTCCTTGTTTTTCTTTGACATCTGCTAAAATTTTTGTTAAACGAGCCCTTTCTACTTCAACATAGAGCTAGACATTAATCAATTGTTATACTCAAATAATGATCAAACCTTTCCAGCAGTAGCTTCCCTTATTGTATCAATCAGTTTTAATTTAATTTGTTGGTTTTCAATTTTATCAACATACGTGCATACTTCTTGTATTAAATTTGTGATTGCCTTATATCATAAATGATTATATCAAAAGATTATTTTTAAACCTGTTTTAATTGATTCCTTCTCTTAGTTAATGCTTTCAAGTTTTCATTAAGCAAATCCCATTTTTGTGAATCAAAACAAATTTTAACGATGCTTATTAAAATTCTAGAAGTAGATATCATATCACAAGATGTCCTTGTTAATTTTTCCAAATTTAATAATTTATTTATAGCTTCATTTATTTGACCACCCTTATAATTAAATAAAAAATATTTTTTTATCATTTGATACTTTGACTAATTCTAAACATTCTGGTAATATTTTATCCACAGTATCTGAATAATCCACTTCCATTTTTTGCGAAGTTATAATATCAGCCATTACTTCAAATATTTTATAAATTGAATGAAATTTTGAAAATCAGAATATTAAAACCTGACAACTAACATTACAGAGTATTTCATGTAACGGGACATGACAGTTGACAGATACGTGATACGTGATAAAAGCGTTTTCGCCCTCTGGTTGTGGATACAACAGAGCTACGCTAGGTTTTCCTCAAAAAATCCATCAAACTGGATAGTTAATTTAGGGGAGGAAAAAAAATGAGGAGCCCTTCACACGTTTGTGGGCAAGCCGCACGTACTTGTACGCGCAACAGTCCGAGAACTGTCGCTTAAACGTCTATAGACTAATCAACAAAAGAGATGGGCAAAAACAAAAGCCTATACCCATGAACTGCCTAAATAATTTAATTACTTTAAGGGTGGGTGGTGGCCAATTTTAAGTTTAACATCTAATGTAAGCCTTGATAGTTACTAACAAATAATTGAGAATGTGTTCATATCAATTGAGATTAGAATTTATTCATGAAAATAAGGAAAAGCTAAAATGGGTTTACCACAAATTGTTTAAAAGGTGAAAAATCCAGTGAATAGGCAAAAACTAGTCAGTAATCGGTTTATGACTATCCAGCAAACGAACACCACACAACAAACGGTTATTTTTCCTTTTTCCAGAGAAACAAAAAACTCTATGGAGTGATAGATAGATTATATAGCGAAAAAGGTCTTTGATAATGATAAAGATATGAGAGAAAGGAAACTATGACGCAGAAATAGGAGCCAGCTCCGTAAGTTTTAGGAAATTGAAAAGTAATTGTTGTCCAGGATTAACAAAAGGCATTTTGGCTTGATTGTTATATGATAGTCTATCATTCACGGAAAACTCTACCAGCAAAACATATTTACAAACCTCGCCACCCCCCTGTCGACTGGTTTCTCCATAAATGATGTAACAAGCGAACAAAGACTAATGAAAAAACACTAAGAAAAAGCAAAAGCTCCAGGGCCAGATAATATCACAGCAGAAAAACCAAAAAATAAATAGCATCTATAACAATATCGCTACCTATTTGCCCTCATTTAATAGAAATATGGGAGAGCGGAACTACTGCAGTGGGATGAAATCAAAAATCCTACCTAAGTAACTACCCAAAAACTAAGACCACAAGAAAATTAAGACTTATTGAGCTATAGCCATCACATCCTATAGCATGGAAAAAGCATAACACCCACACCAAAAATACATAAGTATATACAGGCCAAGAAAAGAAAATACTGGATCCAAAATTAATTTAGAAAAATAATCATGCAGTTAATGTATTATACAAGTAATTTATTATATTTTATATAAACTAATAAAAATATGTTTTATATTTGTTCCTGGCTTAATTTTTTTTAAAATTAATCTCCTATCTTGTAAAAATATCTTATGACTATATATAGACTAAGGTAACCAGGCCGAAGGCTGAGCAAAAGCAGGCCGAAGGCCCTCCCAAAATGGAGTCTGGGGGCGAAGCCTCCAGTAATTATTTAATTCCCCTACCCCCCTCCCCCCCTTAAAAAAATCCTGCGCCTAAGGCTCATATCAAAAATAAATTGCTATGAAAAATGTTGGATATACGAATATCTATATTATCAGAGTAGTCAAAGAGAGCCCCCCCCCCGAGGAGAGCCCCTACATTCAAAAACCCCTGTCTCACCGCAATCCTCAATATGACAGGAATTGTACTGGTAGCAAACCTCCCTCAAAAACCTCTAACTATCCTCTTAAAATATTTGCCTCCGGGACTATATATATCCACATTATTAATGATTCCTTTTTAATTGTTACTCCCTTCATAAATTTTAAAAAGAATAACTTAAATTATTAATGCTGTACAAAATATTGTGAATTTAAAAATGATTTTTTAGAACATATATTCAATTAAAAACCCCCTCAATTTATAATAAATGGGAGTATATTGTTTGGCATGAATATGAGTTTCCTGAGAATGTATAACCCTTTTAACATTTAAAATGCATAAAGTTTTATTACAAAAATAATGTATATGAATGTATACAATATAGATTTGGTCTATGTTTAGCAATACCATTTTATTATAGTAGATCTATAATAAAAGTATTAATATTTACAGAAATACATGTTGCCCTATTTCATCTAAAAATTTAATAGATATCCCCCCCAATTAATTAATTCTACCCCCTACGACCCTCAAAAAAATTGGAAGCAAGCTTTTCTTCCTACACCCCCGCTTATGTAGAAGCTGAGTGAGCGCCGTTATTTTTCAAAACTCAGCGGGAGGTTCATTTAAGGAATGGAACGCAGGAGCGCTTTTCCATTCCTTTAATTTTATTTATTGTTTCAAATATAATTGTAATTAATACGGTTGAATAATATTAAAATTACATATTTATTTAAATTTATGAAATTTTTAATTAAAATTCAACCGAGTTTTATATTATTTATATTTTTATATTTAATTATATACTTATAAACCATGTAGGATATCTATTAAATAATAGTATACCTTTCGGTCAAAATTTTATATTAACATTTTTTTTATATATATATCATTTTAATGTGACATTTTTTTATTCACTTTGTATTTAAAAGAATCGGTGAAAATTTTATATTAGCATTATCAATTTGTATGAGTCATTTTTTTTATTATTGTTTAAAAAAAAAGATATACAAAGAGATAAAACAAAATGTAATTGATTTTAGAAAATAAATATGTAATATATCAGATAATAAAATTTAAATTATGATTTAAAATAAAATGATAATCAATGAAAAATGTGTAATAATCTATATTATAATTTTCCGATGTCCTCACTACGTCATCGTGACGTCATGTCATCGCTACGTCATGTCATCGCTACATCATGTCATCGGTACATACTTATTTTTATTTTTTTATTGATTTTATTTTATTTTTTTTATAGAAAATATTTTTATCAGAGACCTGCAGAGGTACCATTTGCACGGCCCGGCCCGGCCCGGCCAGGTTTTAAATTTTTTAAGCCCGGCCCGGATTTAAAAATTTAAGGCCCGGCCCGGATATTTTTTAAAAAAAAACTTAAGGCCCGGCTCGGAATTTTTTAAAATTATATTCGACCTGGTATATACAAAAATTCACCTATAAGGTATTTTACCATATTTTTCAGCGAGTATTATGGCTTATTATTTAAAAAATACATGTAAAAGCTAATATTTTGAGAATATTATATTGAATTTATAAAAATTATAAAACTGTTATTTATAAAAATGGATATTTTGAGCATATATTATATTTTATATTGCATTTATAAAAATAAAACTAATATTCATAAAAATGGTAATAATATTTGTCATATACTATATTTTATATTACATTTAAAAAAAATAAAACTAATATTTATTTTATAAAAATGGAAAATATTTTGAGAATATAATATATTGTATTTAATTTACTATTTAATTTATAAAATAAAAATAAATCGCTATTTAAAAAAATGCATGTATAATAAATAGTATTTTGAAAATATAATCTAATTGCACAATATTATTATAATTTATTTTATAATATAAATTTTTAACAAAAGAAGATAATTGTATTATATAATATTGTAAAAAAAAATAATGAAAAATGTTGGATTAAAAACTTTCATGACTCAAGGTAAATATAATAAATGCAATAAATATTTGACAGTTTGCAAAGTAAAAAACCAGCATGATTGACGAAACCCTATACTCAAGAAAGATATTAAAAATTCACAAATTATCATGAAGAAAGAGAAGCATATCTACCTTTTCAGGTTGAAGATTACTTCTTCTTTCTTCAAGAATTCTCCCAGTAGTGGAAAAATTCCGCTCACAGCTTGCACTTAAAGCAGGAATTGCCAATTTTGCTAAAATTGGAAATTCGATTTGATGAGCCGCCCACCACTCTAACAAATTATCCACCTTAAATGTTTTATCTATTATTTATGTAATTATAATATTCATCATCGGGTATTGACATATTACCAGAATTACATCGCCCCATTTGTCATAAAACGATTCAGTTTGTTTAACAACAGTCGTAATTTGACTGGTCCATGGTATTTCATTTACTTCCTGAGCCTCTTGTAATTTAATATAATCTTTTATATAGTTTTCCGTCATTTTGCGATCTGTCCCTGACTACATACGTAATTGCTTGAATTTGGGACAGAGAAAAAGAGAAATAAAATGATACTTGTGTAAAACAAATTTTTCAATTAAAAATTGCTTTATATTAAGTAAAATCAATTTTATTTCTCCTTTTCGTTATGAAAGGTATTACAAACTTTAAGAAGTGATATTCCTTTATTTGATTGTTTTGGTAAAATATATTCTAATAATTTAGATATGAATTATAAAAAAATATATTAATAATACTTGAATATTGGGGCTTATTTAAGATATTCCTTTATTTGATTGTTTTGGTAAAATATGTTGTAAAAATTTAGATATGAATTATAAAAAAATATATTAATACTTTGAATAAATTGCAGGAAATTAATAATTAGATCGATCTGTGGGTTGTTAGGTAGTGTTAACTATCACCCAATATTATATTAATCATAACTATAATATAATATAATCTTATAACCATTAACTCATAATGTAAAAATTTTTATAAAAAATATTAAGGCCCGGCCCGGATATATTTTAAAAAAAATTTTTTAGGCCCGGCCCGGATATGTTTAAAAAATTTAAAATACGGCCTTGCCCTGCCTGGGCCGGGCCGGGCTTAGGGCCGGGCCTGCAGGTCTCTGATTTTTATAGAACATTCTCTTATTTATCAAGTATAATATTTATCAAAATTATATTGGGATTTTTTGGTACGTACTTATTTTTATTTTTATTTTATTTTTATTTTTTATTGATTTTATTTTATTTTTTTTATAGAAAATATTTTTATAGAACATTCTCTTATTTATCAAGTATAATATTTCTCAAAATTATATTGGGATTTTTTAATTCTTATGTTATTATTTTTATAAAGTAATATATTTTACCTGTAGAATAATTGGTAAATTAGATATTTCCTCTTCATTAATTATAAATTTAATATCTC